CGCAAGTTCATAAGCATAATCCCTCCAGATACAGAACGGAAGTTCATCAAGACCTGGAGCTGTGCACTTTAATATACTCAGAAACTTCCATACAGTATGCACCTCAATTGTAGGAATACGAGTGCCATCCTGGATTGAAAGGACTTCGGGCGAGGAGTACTGATCATCAATGTTGATTGACTGGAAATACGAGTTAATTGTTTTCGGGTCAATAGTAGAGCTGACGGGTGCATTACGAGCCTGTCTACCGGTGATCATATTGACAGTATCCCACCACCTCCTCGAACTGGTGTTATAACTACTATTCCTTTCATTAACTGCACGGATTTGTTCAGCGCAGATAAGTTTGTTGATTCGCTCTTGCAGGACATGCTTTTCAGACTGTTTGTGACTCCGCGAGTTCTTTTTCCTGATTTTACACAAATACTTAACAAGAGGAGACATATAAGGCAGGTCTCGGGATGAAATTCTAACCTTTATAATCGGGAAGCATTCATTAAACATCGAAAATAGAGTCTCGCTTAAACTCTATTTTCGATGTTTAATGAATTCTTCCCGATTATAAAGGTTTCACAACGCGCTTCCCGCCTACTTATCTGTTGAGTTAGAACAGCTACAGAAACGCGCCATGCGAATTATTTTTCCGTTTGCTCCATATAGCGATGCATTAAATCAAGCCAACTTGGAAACGCTCTCCCAACACAGGCAGTCAATCACAACTAAGCTTTTTGACTCCATCACTTGTAACTCAGACCATAAACTGTATAAGCTCTTTCCTCCTCATAACAACTGTGAACTCAATTTTAGACGAAACAGGAAATTTAATGTTCCTCTGGCTAAAACGAAGAGACTCGTTAACACATTTATAGATAGTAATTTAAGTTAATTTGTGTACATTTTTCTTATATTTTTCTCATACTTTTATTAGATTTTACTTTTGTAACGATTAATCTAATACAGCTTTTGGATGCGATTTTAATCAGAATAAACTATCTATCTATCTATCTATCTATCTACGCATTAAGTTGAAGGAACATAGGAGTGGTGCGTGGTGGGTCTCTAAATCTCCCCAGGGTGACTGTTTTGATATGATTACTTTTATGTCTTGGTCTTCTTTAGACCTTTCAAGCGAAAAAAGAGATTCGAAAAAGTCTTAAAGAAGAGAGGGAGAAAGAGAGATGGGCGACCGTCCTCTCTTTTCAAAAGGCATGGTCCAGTCATTGACTCGTAGTATGGTAAAGTAAACATTACAATAGCTTCAATGATCGAGCTGATTTCGTTTTACTTGGCGCTGGTCAACATGTGCATCAGTCTCTTTAGAGCTTATTTTTTTGGGCTTATGACAAGTAGTTAATGTTCAAATGTGAACGAAGAGCAACAAGAATACTCTTTGGGTGAATATTGTTCTGTCAGCTTCTATGAAACCTTTAGCCAGATTGAAGAGTTCACAGTTAGTTTTACCATTTGCTATAAGACGGTTGTAGTCGTTTATTCCAAGGATAATTCGTATAGAGCATTCTCTTATCTAAGTATATGCATGAAATAAAATACTTCTAGGTCAAAAGCTATCTGCGTACTCCTTACACAGTCACAGAAATAATAGAGTTCAAGTATCACAAGTGATGCAACGATCGGCGATGAGCTGCACTTTAAGTAACTGGAGAAAAGAAGCTTGCAGAATTTTTAAGCTTCGACGGATTTAGAACCCTTGCCACCCAGAACTCAGTAGTTGGGCGCTATTGCCAACCGTGCTACGAAGCCACCCCGTAGAAACGGGATGACTGTCTATAATTTATTTAAATTGCAGTTCACCCGTGAGGATCGCTGTTTTTCTTAATTTTCATTTACAGTTCAAATCATTTCCCAGATAAATGAAGCTTTTTTTACGTCAAGTTGTATGTATTGAGATACCAGAAACACGTAGGGCCGCTTCGTAACCCTTTAACTCCAAGGAGGGATCAATATGTAAGTTCTCCCTACAATGTCCATGCATTACCTACCAAACAGGTAATGAGAATAACAAACTTATGAGATAAATATATCTTATCAACCAAGCGCGAGGGCCGTACTGGGAGAATATCGGCCCGAGGTCTTGACAGTACGGACCGAGTGCAGCGAGGTCCGTACAAAAAAGACCGAGAGCCGATATTCTTCCGGTACGGTCCCGAGCAAGCTTGGTTAATAAGAGATTTATTATACGACTGAAGTTCAATGGGA